AAATCCTCATGACTTATAAGTAGTTAAAAGCTTATTTTTTTAAACTTGAGTGTTGGATGGAATCTTCCATAGCAACTCATTAATTTATTTCAAATATTACGCTTTTTTGGGTAAATGTTAATGTGTTCCTTTGTGTTTAGCACATGGAGCACGTCACGTCAGGACCCAGTCGCATGAAAAGGGATATAGAGCCGTTTTTAAAAGGTTCAGAGTGGACAAAACCAGACACGGACAAGTATTTTCCAACTTCAAAGAGGATAAGTACGGAATTGGCCTCAGCTGAGTGTATTTGCCCTGCTGGTGAGCCAGGTAAGCAGTAGTTTTTTTCTCTCCCATTGTTAAAAATTTTTTTACTTAGCTCAAACGTCGTTGTTGTAGATTTTACTCTCAATAATACATTTCTACATGCCACTATTGTTGTTTTTATACGTATGTTTTCTCTTGCCACAAAACGTTTTTCTCTACTTTTATCAACTGCGGATGGCTTCAAATAAGATTGTTAAAAGGGTATGGCTGCTTTCGTTTATTTTCGCTCGCGTGTGCCTGAATATCAAGACAGAAAATGAAAATAAAACTTACTTGAACACGTGTAAATAATATTGAAGAAAATGGAGAAATATGATTTAATAAAATCTACATGACTTCTATTCATAAATCCCACTATTCTTATAACGAAAGTCATTGTCTTTTAAAACTTGGTCAGGGCAAAACTTTAAGGATATTTTTTTCTGAATTAGAATATTTTAGTTGTTGTAGATAGATTGTTCAGTAGTTTCTTTGTTAGCACAGAAAAAAAGATTGAATATAAAGACGGGATGTCAGACTGCTGAACCGAAGAAACCAGCGCTTTTTTTTTCATTTCCTTTCCTTTTTTTAACCTATTCATACCGCAATTTAGCGTCCTTTCACGGAATACAAGCGATTCATCAACTTTATATAAGCAAAACAGATGGCGTTAAACCTGAATTAAACGAAAAAAAATTAAGTCATGTGAATGTAAAACGTCTATTTTAGCATCACGACAAAGAGAGATTGATCTCGACATGACACCACTTAGACGGTACTGATTGAAGGCGGCCTAGTATGAGTCAGCAGTGTTGTCAAGCTGTTAACGATATCGAAGATCCGAACAAAGACGACACAGCTCCATTGAAACTTACTGAGTCACAAAGTATAGGAGTATCCGGAGCAACAAACTTGAAGCAACAGAGACTGGACGAGGTTCGCATGACAATCCAAACTCCATGACAGCGGACCGCCAGCAACCAACTGGCTGACTTACTATATATAAACAGTTAAATAGAATAGGTGAAATATTTAAACACATGGTGTGTGTGGAAAGAACTGAATGCTTGGTGAAGTGGAAATGACGTGGGCGGGCTGTGTGAACGGGCAAACAGCATGTTGACTTTGAGGTTGAAGGATTGTTCGTTTTAATAATAAAAACTGCCTTTTTTCCCCATTCACGAGTGGTAGGTCAACGAAAAGAAAGTATACAAAAACTCATTTAGGTACATCCGTTTCAGTTATACTCATAGAATTTCGGATCAAAATGCAGCGAGATCAATTAATCATAAACATCACAAAATGTATTCTAGTCATATATGAAAATCTTCAGTTTATTTAACCTTTCTGAACAGCCATACCCTGAAGAGTATACGCTTGTTGAATAATTCTAATGAAACTAGGTATCCATATTTTGGGGTAGATTTCTTGACGGTAAGCCTTTATTTTTAATCTATACAAATAGTTTTCAATACACATGCATTCTTACAATCTCTCTTAAAGTTGATTATAAATCATTATATTTACACCTTTTTCTTTGTCGATAATTTATCCTATGTCCACATCACTTAAATTAATTGTAAGTACTCAAAAATATTGTTGTTGTTTTTTATCCATTGAGACTAACATAGGGTTATGTTTTGATAGGATATCCAACTATAGACTCTAAATAGGCCTAAGTCATCATTACTATGATCTGTTTCAGAGATTTTGTGATTTTGTTTGTTTCAGGTCTTATTGCCAGTGGCTATGCTCTTCATTTTTTGCAAAAAATATGATAAATACTAAAACATGTTGCGTAATGCTAAGTTACTTAGGTTTAACTGTATATTTTTAAATTATTTGTGACTATTATATTGTCCTTTGAACCACCTAATATACATCTTATATGAGTCTGTTTGCCTAAAGTGAAAGTTTGGTTTGTTTAAATTTTCCATACTTAGTTATAAAAGCAACACAAATGGTCCTCGTAAAATAAGGCAACTACCTTACCATCGTAAATTAGTTCATTTCTTGTTACAAGTATTAGAACTTGTATAGTCAGTTCGTGCATGACCATTCAGACAAAATCAGGTAAACCCAATCACTTAAAACAGAAAAAATAAACTGATAGAATTATTACATAACTGGAATGTAAACCAATTTCATCTGTCATTATCCTTAAAGCAGGGATTCCCAAACTGGGCCGTGCATGACCATTCAGACAAAATCAGGTAAACCCAATCACTTAAAACAGAAAAAATAAACTGATAGAATTATTACATAACTGGAATGTAAACCAATTTCATCTGTCATTATCCTTAAAGCAGGGATTCCCAAACTGGGGCAACTGGAAAGTGTCAATAGGACCATAGCAATTACACAGAATACCCATTGCTGTTAGGGTCCTCAATATCCATTGATTCATTGGTGCTCATTTAGGATGCAAAATATTCTGGGGATCTTGTGTTAAGAATATTTGGCAATCTCTGCTTTAAGGAATTATTATCACCCTGTATATAGAATACTAATATGCTTTAACTCTAGTGAAATGATAAAAAGTTCATACAAATATTAAGTGTCGGCAGGGTTAACTTTATCGTGCTTGTGTCAAATCTTTAGATATGCCAGTTTAAAAAAAAGTGCTAGAACATACTTTCAGTAGAGAAATTATTATGTTAAAATTACTTCCATTAGACAGTAAGTACGAAGAAATACTAAACTAGTAAATTTTTCTAAAGCTAAGAATATTAGATAAATATTGCATGATAATTATGCTGTATTATCAAAGCAATCAGATGCATCATGATTACCATTTGGTTAATCAATCAACCCTTCTCATGGGCTTGGATGTATCTTTGAAATGACCAAAATACATCAACTCATCTATGAAAGAGTGCATTCCCAAAAGAAGTAGATTGAATAATACAGGAAATAAATTAACTTTAGAAATACTATTGTTTTATTCATTCATCACAATACAAACAAGTATTTTTAAAAGATAATTTCAAAAATATATTTATAATAAAATACACATATTTATTTTTGTAAAGCAACCTGCAATTAAATATGCATTAGTTAGGTAAATACTTTTACGATCTGAGAAATTTTAAAATTAAAACACGTTATGAACTACCAAGCGTGAGATGATCAAATTAGTTGATCATGTTGCTTATTGTTTCTGTGAGAACGTCACTTATATATTATTTCTATATCAACAGCTGGATATTCAGAAAAATTATAGGGGGAGCGACAGTATAGTTAGCAATATTAGAATTTAAAACATTAATTACCAAGGTACGTTTAAAATACTTTAAGTTAATGTAATTAACTTATCAATATTGCAAAAGCGTTATCCTGATAAGTTACATTGAAATAGCATGCGTTAAAAATAAAAATTCAGCCACAAGGTTGATCTATGTTTTATTTCTCTCTCTCTTTACGGATATGTTAAAATAAGTCACTTTTAAAAACATGAAATAATATGATAATTTATACATCTCCAGAACGCTTGAACGACAAAAACAAACAAACCAAAATTCTACTTTAGCTCAAACAAGTGATATCTCATAAACACAACATTACTCACATTGCATTAAGTTACTCATGTGCTGTAACACTGAATTTACATTTAGCTTGGCTCCCAATTCTCCTAAGAATCGTAACGGAGTTACAATGAACAAAATGTGATGTAGCGAATTAGAAGATACGTTGAATGTAAATTCAGTTTTAAAGCATGTGAATAAATTGATGTAATGGGAGTAATGCCAAATTGCTTTATTTTGTTTATGTGATCACCTACTGTTACAGCTAAAGTAGACTCTTGTTGTTTTTTTTCGTTCAAGCTTTTTTTGGTTGGATTTTAAGTGTTCTTGTGTGTTACATCAACCCAAAGAACATGCACGGTAATTATTATTGTTTAACGAGACCTTTAAAGAAAATTACCTCGTATAAGGAATCAATATGCAGATCAGGATATTGCTAATACTATACATGTTATCAAATATATTACATTGGATTGGAAAGTGTGTTGTTACCTTTAAAAATGACAAGAGAGAAAAAGCCGGAAGCAGCAGTGACACGGGATGAGAAAGAGCCGGAAAAATTTGTGACACAGGATGAGAAAGAACCGGAAGTATTAGTGACACAGGATGACATTCTTGTTCTGAACTGAGCTATTTGAAATGAACTCTGGAACGATAGTGACCATATGAAGGGGAGGAAGGTATTTTGTTATTGAATTTAATGCTTTATGCTACTAGCGATAGGATTAGTATGTATCGTAAAATTTGCGAGATATAAAATAAGAACCCGCTGTCCATGGTCGCTAGGTTCTCGCGTTGCAAGCTTTCACTCCATCGTTTGATACTGTACTTGGTGTGCTAACTTATCGGAGTTGCTTCCGTCAGCAGCGTATAATGTGGAAAGCCGTTAAAGCCGATATCACATTTTAACAATAAAAAAATATGCATTCTGAACTATGAAAAAAAGAATACTTGCAACCGGGGGTGCTGAAAATGTTGAAACTTTCTGCAAAAAAACAACAACAACAACAAAAAAACAACTTCACGTAGCTCTAGAAGCAGAAGTTTGAATTTCGCGCAAAACTACACGAGGGCTATCTGCGCTAGCCGTCCCTAATTTAGCAGTGAAAGACAGCTAGTCATCACCACACACTCTTGGGCTACTATTTTACCAACGAATAATGGGATTGACCATCATATTATAACACCCCCATGGCTGAAAGGGCGAACATGTTTGGTGGAACTGGAATTCGAACCCGCAACTCTCAGATGGAGAGTCGAGCGTTCTAACCACTTGACCATTTCGGACCAGAAGCAGAAGTAGGGAAAGCTGGTGAACGAAATTTTGCAGACTGTTCTAGTGGTATGTAGAGGCTAAATATTTGCCGTTTTTCTTTTCTAATTTCGGAGAAGAGTGGTAATAATACGCACTTTCTGCATAATGAGTAAACTCTGTAAATAGAAAAGACTACAGCAGTTCTTTTTTTTTTATTTCGGCTACAAAACTACCATTCCGTTCTA